AGAGCACTCACACTTTAAAGGCTGTTACTGAATGCTTTAGAATAAAGAGTAGAAGGTAGGATAAAAGAGGATATACTGTAGAGGATAAGCATATATACAAGAATATATTTTACTAATGTATAATCAGCTAAGATAATACTAGTATGTCCATATATTAGCATGGAAGTCGATTCCTGAACCTCGTTAATCAGTAGTCAGTAGTCTGCTATATATCCAATGAGAGCTCCTGAACTTGAAAATCTCCTCTAGCCGTAGTAAACAAATTCGAAAAAATGATTCCGTAAGCTGCGCTGGATGAGCTTAGTATACTAAGTATAACAATAGGATAGAATGATCTATATATATATAAATGTGCCTTGTTTGTGTGTCACCTTTTTGTATTCTTATCGTAATGCAACCTTAAATAGCATTATTAATGGCTCAAAATAAAACCCCCCCCAATAACTGTAATCACCTGAACTATATGCTATGCAAGTTAGCGATTGTGAACTCACATCACGAGTCTCTCGTGCCTTAAAGTCTGTAAATATTTGCCAGAAAACGCATATATAGAGCAGATCATAAATTATATATGCCGCAGTGGCGTAGCCAGACGGGGGTAGGGTATAATATACACAAGTACCCGATAACTGACAAAGGTATTCTAGTATTTCGATTGATTAAAATGTTGTAAAGCAAACAGTACTTAGTACCTGAAGCGCCCCTCTCAAAAATACATTGTGACACTGCTAGGAAAAGAAAGTACTTCAGTCTTTATCTAAACAAGACCTTTGCAAATGTTTTAACTTCCAATTATAAACACAGACATACACATGCCCAGATAATTCCAGGGCACGGGTTGACTTCAAGATAATGAGCGAAGAAACCCGAAAAAAAACGAAAAAAAACAGACCAACTGCTAAACGAATCTGTTATCAAGTCGTCGACACAACATGGAAATTATGTTCGCCTCAGTTGAAATCGTCATAATGTGCAATTATCTCTTATCTGAAAGTCTGGCAAATGCTTCATAGATGAATGGTGCCTACTTTAATTGCAATGGCTATAAAGGGAATCAACTTTTATGGCCCAGAGGCCGACTTTGCACTTGCCAAACGCGTGTTTCCCTAGACTCTGGGGTTCTGACTGTCGTTTTATACTCAAGATGTCTGGCCAGATGAAGCACCAATTACGCATTTGGCAAGCCATATAATTTATACATTTATCGCTAAAGAATTCTTATGGTACTTAAAAATAAAAAAAAAAACTTTCTAAATTGGAAATGTTTACGATAGCTATTTATTAGGGGGTATTGTAAAATAACTAATGATTTTGAAACTATATAACCTGAAGATTGAGTTTTAACCCATATAGTAAGGTTAGATTTTTTACATTAGAAAAATAATATTTGTTGTATTATTTGGGTTTTAAGATATTTAAGCGTATTGTAAAAGGAATGCAAATTTCAAAATCTTGGACGTAGAAAATGTGCAAAACTTTTGAAACATATATGAGATCGATATGTCTTTGTTTTCTTATAAGAAATATTTTTACTGGTCTATGTGTAAGAGATTTTCAAGATTGTAATGGGCAGCCAGCTGCTATATTGGTATACTAAAGGGATATTGTATATATATTCAATAATATAATGAGATGTAGATTGCAATTATTATTATCGTATAGTATAGAGTACAATAATATGTTACGTCCATGCCTGGGAAGGCACTAGCCCAACGCGTGTTACCCTAGCCTTTGATGTTTTGAGTACCGTTCATACTCAAGATGTCTGGCCGGATGAGGCACATTATATGCATACAGGAAGTCATATAATTTATGCATTTATAGCAGGAGAATTCTTATGGTACGAAAACATTTCTAAATCGGGGTATTATAAGTTAACTAACGTGTTAAGTAGAATTTTATTTACGATCTTTTTATGCTAGAGTAGAAATTTAGAATGAGAAGCGACCAATGTAGAGTTTGAGTAAAGAAAACATGCACGAATTAATATATATTTTTCTTATTTCATAATGAAAATCTTTAAATAAGAAAACTTTTTTCTTTTAAGTATTCCCATATTGTATGCGAATGATAAGGGTGCTTGATTATTTCATAAATGTGATACTTCGGATTTAAGCTGCCTAAATTAGCTGATTAGTTTATTAACTAATTATAAGTTTTTGACATTCCCATTGAGCGCATTATAAAACGATTTAGTTAAGCATCGAAATTTGTAAGTGTTTCACTTTTATTCATTTTATGGTTGCAGTGTATAAATAAATACGTTAGGTAATTATAAATCAAGCTACAGAAAAATATGCAACTACGATCCATAAATTAAATGTATATTATAGATATGATATCAATAGCTGTCATACATATTCAGTGAATGATACTGCAGATAAATGTATCTAAGGTATGTGAGAGCTATACAAAATGACAATAGAGACCCGACGACGACACCTTGTAAAGGTGTCAAAATATTTGCGGAAAGCCAAAGCAAATTATTGTCAGATATAAAAAGTTGACAATAAATTGTGTAAATATTTGCAAATAATTGAACAAAATTAATTGGGACCAATTCAATTAGCAGACAACTTCGATATGCCTAATAGGGAAGGTAAATTGTGTCTGTGACGTCCCTGGCTTACTTGATGTCTCACCTGTGTGCGTTGATGACGTCAAAAGATCTCATCCAACTGTGAATTGAATCCGTAATGGAGCTCTAATAAAAATTTTAAATAGTGATTGCGCTATAAATGTGGTTGGCTTGAGTTGGGCTAGTTTAGTCTGTGGGCTTCTCGATTTCATTTGATGTCATTAATCGTAAACTGGGCCCGTTGCATATGAATTTATCTGTAGGCCAAGAAACTCGCTTTGGAAATCTACTTATTTGCGGCGTGATTTGTTTTACAAGTTTGTCTAGCCGTTCATTTGTGTTTCTAGCTTGGATTTCTTGTATGTTTTTGGCTGTATTCCATTTACAGCTCCACATTCGAGAAGTTTTTTGAACATACACCGAAATAGAAAAATGCGTCAAGTCATTGATCTTGCTCGAGGCCTGGCTCTGAACTTTGGAGTCTATTTTGAGCCATCTGTTGGTCAAGTTGATGTTGATGTTGACTGGTTGTTGTTGTTGTTGTTTTTCTTTTTGGCTGGCAATTTCGCCATAGAGTCTAGTGGGTAATGGAAAATTACTGGGCTTGTTGGCAATCTTGTTATTCAGCATGCAAATGCGTCTATCTATGCAAAAAGCGACTTCATGCTTTTTGTCATGTGATTTACCCATCTACCCACTGTTCATATTCGTTGCACTTTTCATCAGAATCTTTTAATTATTTTTCAAATGATTTTCTATTGTTTTGAGCTAAATGCAAAAGGTATTTCAAATATATATTTTTATTTTAAAAGTTTTCTACAAGTATATTATTTGTATAATAATAATGATAATAAAAAAACTACTGATAGTTGAGGAACTTGAATTAATATTTAGGCGTTTTTTAGCAGTAATTTAAGATTTTTTCCAGCTGAATTTCAAAAGTTTTCTACAGTCAATTATCTCCTTTTGCATATTTTAAAGACTTCTTATATTTTTTTGTTGTTAAATAATGTAAATAAAAATACTTATAGTCGAAGAACTTGATTTAATATTCAGTTATAGACTTCTCTAGTTTTTTCAGCAGTAATTTACATAATCTATAATAAAACTTTTCATATCTATAAAAATTGGTAGCTCGTTTAGTTGAACCGTTATTAAACAGTTTGTCAACAAGTATTTTTCCAGCTGTTTCTAAAATCAATATGCATGATCTACAACCACCCACTCTGTCGATCCAAAGCGTAACTGTGCCAAGGTTAATTCCTAGGCGCTTATAACTTTGCTCTAGTTTAAGTCGTCATTATTACAACCTGGACGCATTCTATGAATTTACGTGTGTTGCGGTCCACATTTTTACGAATAACATATATTGTTGTTGTTGTTGTTGTTCGTTTGTGATTTGTATAGTCAAGGGTTTGGGATTAGCTAGGCTCGTGCTGGGGGACGGACGTGTCTGAATGTTTTCGGCGCTTATCATAAAGAAAGAGCCATAAGCTCGCTTACAAGCGGACAAGTGGCCAATAAATGTGTTAAACAAGCTGTCAACGTTTTTCCGATATGCGACCCAGAGTCGTGCGACTAATCAATGGCACGAGCGCCATACGACAGCGAATCCCATAAACACATAACCAGCCCGAATGGGAGATACCCTAGGCTGGCATAAAAATATGAGGAATCTAACTGTGAGATACCCAAAACTTATAAGATCATAGATAGGATAAACATATAAAAGCACAACTCTGAGATACCCTAGGCTTATAAGATCAAAGATAGCATAATCCATATCATCTTCCATGAAAAACCCTACAGTTAATGTAAAGTATTTAAGGATTTATTAAATATTATCATTAACGTGATTAACGATAAAAAAGCACAAAATGTGATATACAAAATAAACAAAATAAACATTCAATTAAAAAATTTGTTTATACAAATATAAGGAATGTCTATATTAAACTACTTTAACTATTTAAAAGAATGCTGAACTGTAGTATTCTTGAGTTCGCCAAAATATACGTTTACGCCCTATCCCTACTTCATATGCGTAATATACCCTGTAAAGCTAATCACCTGTGACGTCAAAGGTCGTTCGGTTAACTTATCTCAAGCTGGAAGGGTTCAAAAAATTGATACAAAACCAAACCAACAACTAATCTTGGCCAAATTCGGCACAAATCGGTTTTAACCGGAAATCCAGAGCTGGATGGAAAATACTGCAACATTCAGTCGCCGTCGTCGTCGGCGTTGTCGTCGTCGTAGTCGGTTCGCTTTCGTTAAGAAAAAGTTGTTAACAAATAATTGTTGCTGCTGTTGTTGTTGTTGTTGTTGTTATTATTATTACTGGCCGGCAGCCAGGGCAAGGCTTTAAGCGTTCCAACGCCAACGCCGCACGATCAGAATGACTTTGGAGCGCGTCGCGCGCGGTCGTTAAAATTTAGTTGAGTCTGAAGTTTTGTTTGGATCTAAAATAAGCGCTACCAACTTTTACTAAAGCCGTCAGTTGATGTCAATTTGTGCTTAAAGTGATATTTTTTAGGCCTAAAAATAAAAAAGCTAAAAGCCTAAACAAGTATGTGAATATTTAAAAATGCTCAACAAATAAAATAAGTATAAAGGACTTTAACAAAACGTAGCAAAATATTCAAAAGGACTAGTTAATAAGTGTGTGTGTGTGTGTGTGTGCTAGTAAATATTGAAAAATTAATAGAATTTTCAGTGTTTTCTTGTGCAATTGAAGAGCTTGACGTGAATGTTTAAGCAAATAGAATGCAAAAGTATCTCGCGTACAAACTCATTAAAGAATAAACAATACTTAAAAAAATTATCTATAAAAGTTTACAGCCACTGATAAAATTGTGCAATTTACAAACCGCAAAGGTTGCTAAAGTTAAACGCGAGCTTTTATCACAAGAATACTTTGAAAAAATATTTAATATAATATAATGATAAAAATATATATATTATAGGAAAATAGGAAAAGGAAAAAAAAAACTCGAAATAACTGAACACGCAAGAGCCACATGCTCAAATCCAAACCGCCAACAACTATATAAATTTATTTCTGAAAAACTAGTTTCTTTAAATTCTTGACCCAATAGATCGGGATTCATGGATCTAGCCAATGTCGATTTAGACTCGGCGCTTATGAGATCATGTACAATATTTTAATACGAACTTTAACCGTGTTTTAATTTGAAATGTTATCAACGCACTTGAAATCAAGTACAAAAATTATCTCGGTTCGATTAGAGTTGAAGTGAAAGTACTTTTGAATGCATATGAATTTCATATATTTTGTTTTTACTAGATAATACTTGAGTTTTTCAAGGCGAATCATAAATACTCGCTGGCAAATTAAGTGTATAACCACAGTAAATCATACGAGACTAAAAGGTTTATAATTTCTACAAGTTATTTTTTAAATTCGATGCGCTCTGCAATGCCAATTATAATTTTATGTTAACATACTTCCTCAAGCAGCTGATAATACTTGTATAAATATATATATATAGATATATACAGTCGAGCATAGCGACAGTTATGGTCTTACCCTTGTATGGCACGTGCTTAGCATTAATTAAACGAATTCAATAAAACATTGCTATAACGACTCGATCTGTCCTAATTTGTATGCCCAGCAAGAGTCTATACAGCGATTTAAGTTTGACCCACAAAATAAGTGACCTTCGCACTGAGTTACGTGGGAAAATGAATGGTAGATGTGCCCATTAATCAGATACATTATCCAATATTAGATGCGGAAACAGGTCTGCCATATTTGGTCTGTAGTCAACATGGGTTCAAAATGGTATACGTTTTGTTATAGAATGGTTACTTATCAGTTGTGTCCATGAACAAAAGCCAGATTAACGGCAATAAAAACGAACGAAAAATGAATTGTACACGATATTGACTTTGACTTTTCGACAGTTTTATAGCAGCGCTCGATTCCATAAATAAATCCAAAATTCACTTGTAATTACATCAAATTCAAGTGTTAAACCCAAATGTTATGGATTACGGATCCGCACAAAAAAAAAGAATAGAAAATAAAATAAAGATTAGATAGCCGTAGTCGGGCGCGTGCTTTCCTAAGTTCCTGGAATTATTGACATTGGATTATTGTGCGCCATCAAAATGTCTGAAGTGTCGCTCATGTCGTAGGCGCAGTCGATCCAATATAATATTGGCTATATCTAACAAATTTGATATAAGTTTATTAGTCTGGATAGTAAACATGTTACTCAAGTGTAGTCTTCTGATAATTTGTATTCTATTGTAGAATAGAGGGCATGATAATGCCATCAATTATATGGCGTTTAAGAACCGACAATCAGTCTCTATACATTGTGGTTGGAGTAATAAAAAGAAGAATATGATTTGCAATTTTGATAATCAAAAAGTATTTTTGTATTTTTTATTAACAGCAAAAGTACTTTAAACCAATTTTAACAATCTATTTCATTTAATTCTGAAAAAGAAAAATGAGCTCAGCCTTAAACTCAGAATAAAATCGAATTCTTCATTGTGAATATGAATGAATATATAACGAATATATTATATAGAAAAAAAGATATGTATATTTATATACCCGTTGTTTATTAAAGGGAACGTTAATATTTTGATACGAAATCTTTTAAATATACCGGTTTTATTTTGCCACCTGTTTTAATTTGCAAATTACGCTCACTTCAACTAAAATATGTTTTAATATATACATACGAGTATATATATATATATATATATATATATATATATATATATATATATATATCTGTTTATATCAGAGTGCTAATGACTATTGTAAGTTGCAACAATTATTGTTCTAATGTCTATCAAATAAGCAGCAAAGAGTGCATTCCCTTTTGTAAACCAAACGGATAACTATTCACAAGTTTCAATTGCAAAACAAAATATATATGTAAGAAATGCTTGAATGTTCTAATAGACTTGATTTGCGTGGATCTATAAAACACAAGCTAACTATCAATTTGCGATTAACTTAATCGCGTCTAATGCCTTGGTGTGTCTGTCTTATAATATGTTGTTATTGTGTGTTGTTTCAGCCGTGTTTTGGTATGACAAATCGCATTCAGTTGGTCTATTAAAATAGCTTGTTGCAAAATGGAAAAGCTTGAGCTCGAGCGTCACAATTGCCGCCTGTAGCTTATCGACAGATATTGAGGGCTCTGGGGGATAAGATAAGATAAACATGACCTGGACAATGTCTAAGCGATCAGTTCGTTTCATATCTTTATAAAGCATATCAAGTAATGCAGCACTATGTGCACACATAAAAATATTCCACATGATGCACATGTTTCTTGAATGAAGAAATTATTTTATACTTTTCCAACATGAAAAGATTTGGGAATAACAAATATTTAAGCCCATTAACAAGTTGGGTTGCACATAAATTATAGAGTAATATAAAAATAATATATGAAAATATAAATATACACTTACCAAAAAATGTACAGAGCGACAGTCGATTCTTAAAAACACATCACTGAAATAATAAAAGAAGTAGAGAGTGTGTTAGAGTAAGAATTAAATGCAAACCAAGCTAGAACGCTTACAGCTTAATTTTGAATATGTGAGAATCGCATAGAAGGGCATATTTAAAAATGCGTTTTACTCGATATCCATTTTCAAAATATGTTTAAATAAATTAAAAAATGAGTTAAAATGTGTTATGCATAAATAAAATTATTAGTAAAAATTGCATAACTATAGCAACACTAGAATTTAATCAATATAAGCATTATTATACCGAATAGTCACAAAATTATTTCAAAATAAAAAGAAGAGATGAATAATAAAAAATAACTACTTTTAATTTGCAGTCATGTTTAACTTATGGAAAGCCCTCACCCGCCGTAAAACGGACGATGTTCATGAAAGTGAATCAAAGCTGGCCCGTGTGCTCAATCTCTTTGATCTGACGGCGCTCGGAGTGGGCAGCACATTGGGGCTGGGCGTCTATGTGCTGGCCGGCCAGGTGGCCTACAATATAGCAGGTCCAGCGGTGACCATATCCTTTCTGATAGCTGCCGTCGCCTCGGCATTTGCGGGCATTTGCTATGCAGAGTTTGCGGCACGTGTGCCCAAGGCAGGCAGCGCCTATGTGTACAGTTATGTGACCATTGGCGAGTTTGTCGCCTTCACCATAGGCTGGAACCTGATACTGGAGTATGTGATTGGCACAGCTTCGGTGGCACGTGGCCTGAGTGGTTACTTTGACTCGTTGATCGATAATAACATGTCCAAGGCGCTAAACGCGACAATGCCCATCAAGGTGAGCTTTCTGGGCGACTATCCGGACTTCTTGTCCTTCGGCATGGTCCTGCTGCTGGCTGCCCTGCTGGCCTTCGGCGCCAAGGAGTCCAGCTTCTTGAACAACATATTTACCACCGTTAATCTGGTGACCATTGGCATTGTGCTGGTTGCTGGTGGCATGAACGGTGAGTAACCCTTTGATTTTCCTTGAGTTGTAACAGAATTAGTCTAGAATACCTTTTTTTGTATCAATGTTTATTTATGCTCTGCTCCTCTCATTCGCAGCCAATCCGGACAACTGGCGCATTCCAGCTAGCGAGGTGCCTGATTGGGCTGGCACCGGCGGCTTCATGCCCTACGGCATTGCTGGCGTAATGGCAGGTGCCGCGAAATGCTTCTACGGCTTTGTGGGCTTCGATTGCATTGCCACCACCGGCGAGGAGGCCATAAATCCCAAGAGGAATATACCATTGGCCATTGTGGTATCGCTGATCATAATCTTTCTGGCCTACTTTGGTGTGTCCACAGTGCTGACAATGATGCTGCCGTATTATCTGCAGGATCCGGATGCGCCATTCCCGAAAGCCTTCGATTCGGTCGAGTGGTATACGATCAAATGGATTGTGACGATCGGAGCTGTGTTTGCGCTATGCACCAGCCTGTTGGGCGCCATGTTTCCGCTCCCACGTATACTCTATGCCATGGGCAACGACGGCATTCTGTTCAAGCGTCTGGCCAATGTTCATCCATATACAAAGACGCCGCTGTTAGCCACAATAGTGTCGGGCATATTTGCGGCGGTTATGGCCATGTTATTCAACTTGGATCAATTGGTGGACATGATGTCCATTGGCACACTGCTCGCCTATACGATTGTGGCCATTTGTGTGCTGGTGCTGCGCTATCAGGATGAGCAGATGACCAAAGTGGTCTCGGTGCGTGCTCCGAATGTCTGCCGCCAGCTGTTCTGCAACTCTTTCAAGGAGCCAAACACAATGACCTCGGCTATAACCAAAGTGGGCATTGTGGTATTTGCCATCTTCTCCATCATTTGGTGCATCTTCATGAAGGTCTTCGAACTGCAGGCAACTGGCGGCATTGTCTCCCTCAGTGTTGTCGGCCTGGTGCTCATCTGCATATGCATTGTGATTGGCCTGCAGCCGGTGTCCACCATAGAGTTGACCTTTAAGGTGCCACTGGTGCCGTTTGTGCCCTGCCTGAGCGTTTTTGTCAACTTGTACCTGATGTTCCAGCTGGATTTGTACACCTGGATACGTTTCCTTATCTGGATTGCCATCGGTTATTGCATTTATTTTGCGTACGGCATTCGCAAGTCCACACAGATCACACGTAATCGTAATCACGCCGAGGTGGCCGCCAATGCCATGCAGAATCCGGATAATTTGGAACAGCATGAGAATCGCGCCTTCGAGCCGGACTGGAAGGTTGAAAACGGCATCAAGGCCTTGCAGCCGCCCCCCTACGAGTACTCCGAAAAACTCTAAGTCGGCAGTCGGAGACTCAAACAAGTATTATAAGTAGCCTTGTAGATTTAAGCTGACCTCACACCCGACTTATAACTGAGCCGATAGATTCACAGATTCAGATTTTAATTCTCTTTTGCAATCAGTTCCTTCAGAAGTTGGTTTATCACTTGCAATTTCTCAATAATTTCCCAATTCGTTTAATTACTTTCTTTTGATTATGAAATCATCCTTTTAAAATTAGTCGAAATCCGTCAATCAAGCTCCCATAAAGTTGTAAATAGGCATCTTGTTCAGTTGAGTGGCATGTGTGAAGCCAGCTTAAGAAATTTAAAGTTAGCTGAGAATGATTTTCGCCCCGTAGCACCCCCCCACTTATCTTGCTAGTAGCTCCATTTAGACTCTGAGTTTAGCTTGCATGTGTTTGTGAGAGAGATGAATAGATTGCGCATAAAAATTAAATGATTCTCCTTGGACGAACGGGCAGCTCCTGTTCCATGTAGAAGACTCGTGAGTTGCTGCGTTCGACGAGAGATTTGTTATTTTTATGCGCCAGAAATTTAGACACACACGACTTCCCAAAGGCCGCTTAATGCAGACTTTTAATATTATTTTCTTTTGATATTTTGTATTCGTATTCGATTTTTATTTCAGAGACTCATTTATGATTTTGATTATTATTTTTTTTTTTCGTGAACTTTGCTGCCTTTCATTTCTGTACATAATGCCCCCATAATGTTGTGATATTTGTAAATATATATGTATATAGATTTATAATGTTCGCATATATTTATATATATTTGTCACAATTCTTGTTGCCGTTATGTAAATGCAATTTGTATCATAATATTAATATTGTCATAGATTTTTATGCAATTGTACAATCCTAAGCTAGTTCTGTATTTAAGTTATTTAGCTGATAAGTTAATGTCCTCCCCTAACAAGGCCCCTACCGAACACGTTTTTATATTTGTTCAAAGAAAGAGAAACGAATTTTTCCCCAAAAGTAATTTGTTAAATAAAACGAAATGTACAAAAATTAAAATGGGTTTGATTATTGGGATGTAGCCATAAATCTTATCAAATTAGGCATACAAATTCTTATAGCATGAACATTCCGTACCCCACCTGGAGCTCATGTTTTTCTCTTTTTGCTTATCTTATCGTTTAGCTTTCATGTTTAATCAAATGAGTCTTGACCAGCAACAAGACTTCGAGAATTGCCTCGTCAGGATTAGCAGAAGAATCTACGAAACACCATATTATAAAGTTGTCAAAGAAATAATTGGCTTACAATTAATTTACAACTCTAAGGGACAAACAACTTTGAATATATCCGGACCAAACTCATAAATTTATAATTTGAACATGGGTTAAATCGTACAATTGAGCAACCATCCCAGATTTCCAGTCGATCAAAGAATAAAATGTTATAAGTTACTTTTCTGTGCTAATAATAATTTACATTTGCATCAACAAAGAAAACATTGAAAATTGCATTTAAATTTGTACCGGCGCCTTATCCCTTGCTAACTCGCCGCACAAGCTTACGAATTTACGCTTCCGCCAAATCTCTTCAAATCTCCGACATTCAAGTCAAACAGACAACAGCTTAGGCTGCCAGTCAAATTTTGTACACATTAAAATCTATCTAAACATTACCTATTTGATACGTTTTTTTTATTTTTAGAAGAATTTATAGTAGGAATTTAGAATGTCCAAAAGTATCACTGCGCAGTTGTCGCGCCGCAAGGAATTCGATGATGATGGCCCCAAATTGGCGCGTATTCTCAGGCTCCACGATCTAACGGCGTTTGGAGTGGGCAGCACCTTGGGACTAGGCGTTTATGTGCTGGCTGGTCAGGTGGCCCGCCATATAGCGGGTCCAGCGGTTGGCATATGCTTTGCCATTGCAGCATTGGCTTCGCTCTTTGCCGGCCTCTGTTACGCCGAGTTCGCGTCCCGCGTGCCACGTGCCGGCAGCGCATACATCTACAGCTTTGTGACTATGGGTGAATTTGTGGCTTTTACCATAGGCTGGAATCTGGTGTTGGAGTATATTGTCGGCACGGCGTCCGTGGCACGCGGCCTCACGAGTTATGTGGATGCGCTGGTGGACTACAAGATATCGGGAGCTCTGATGTCCATAGTCACATTCGATTTCAAATATATGTCGCACTATCTGGACTTAATGTCCTTTACCATGATTCTGCTGCTGACTTGCCTGCTTGCGGTCGGTGTCAGGGAATCTTCTTGGCTGAACAATATCTTTACAGTTCTCAACTTGGTAACCATTAGCATTGTCATCGTTGCTGGCGCTACAAAGGGTAAACATTTGTCTGGACTTTGTATCCGATTTACTTTTAAGAATATCTCCATCTCCTCAGCTGACATCGAAAACTGGGAACGTACCCCTAGCGAAGTGCCGGACGGACATGGAACTGGTGGATTCTTGCCATACGGCGTTGTTGGTGTGATGGCGGGCGCGGCGAAGTGCTTTTATGGCTTCATTGGTTTCGATTGCATTGCCACCACCGGCGAGGAGGCCGTGAATCCCAAGCGTGACATACCCCTTGCAATTTTGATTTCGCTGCTAATCATCTTTTTGGCCTATTTCTTTATGGCCGTGGTCCTGACCATGATGATGCCCTATTACCACATCGATCCCTTTGCACCACTAACCAATGCCTTTGCATATGTTGAAATGAACGCAATCAAATGGTGCGTAACTGTTGGCTCCTTGTCTGCACTTTGCACCGCCTTGCTGGGCGCCATGTTTCCGCTGCCGCGTATCCTTTATGCGATGGCACAGGATGGGCTCATGTTTCACTACTTTGCGCGCATCCATCCGTGGACTAAGACGCCAATGATAGCCACCATTGTCGCAGGTTTAGTCGCGGGTAAGTTTCCATGCTAGATATTTTTTATTACTTTAGACATGGAGGGTATTATTTCAAACCAATCTTAAAAGGCTCTTATTGTCCCGAGCAAGTTTTTGCATTAAATTTTCCATCCATTTCCCGCCCGTGGAACATTTAAAATGTACCCGTAGTTTGAACTGCAGGTTATAGTTTACATAGACCTTTGAAATTGAGTATCAACGTTTCCGCCTATTTAAGTTCCGTGGTCTGAACAATCGTTTTCCGCCAATTTCCCACAGTATGGGGGTGGAATTCATCAAGTCATCTTTCGGGTTATAAATCAGTCAGTAGGATAAACAACACTCACCATTCTTGCCTTTTATTTTGACAATCCCTGAGATAGAGAGAGTCATTGAGAGGCGGAGAAAGGAAAGAAAACAGACAACTTTTAATGGATTTTACTTTTTACTAAACTAGCAATAATTGCGATGCTTTTGAATCTGGATCAATTAATTGAACTGGGTACAATTGGTGTTATGCTGGCCTATACGATTGTCGCCATGGGCGTTGTAATGATGCATTACAAGGACGATAAAACCAATTCAGAGAACGTGACGGAAGTTAGCTTTATCAACGTATTGCTCCAGATATTCAATATATCACGCACAAAGGAATCGAGTCCCTTCACTGATTGCTTTGTCCGCATTTTTCTGCTGATATACGTGACGCTCTGTGTGCTGTTTTGCGCTTACTTAAAGTTTCTGCATTTGAGAACAATTTACGCCCTTATCCTGTTGGGAGTTACAGGAATTCTAATGATATTCTGTATGTTGGTCATCTTTATGCAGCCGAAGAGTACAGAATTTCCAGTATTTAAGGTGCCTCTGGTGCCATTCATACCCTGTCTAAGCATTCTGGTGAACATATTTTTGATGTTTCAACTGATGACATTCACCTGGATAGCCTATACAGTCTGGATGATATTCGGATATGTTGCATATTTCGGGCTAATGGCGGTACATTTTTTAGTGATCGGTCTCACCATGAAATTAGCTGAAGGGCAATTCAGCAATTTAAAATTCGTGGTGTAAAATCGCTAAATTGTCAGTAGTATCAGATGTATTTTGTTGTCTAGAAACATTTTTAGTGTTTTCAACTATATTTCTATTTTGATAGCCATAATGTACGCGAACTAGCAAAAAATAAATAAAAAATTCAGACCCGCATCAAAAGAAATAAATATCGGAAAACAAACTGCCATAGACTAGGCTTAAAAAGGGTGGAGCTGCTGCATCCGACTTGGCTCCAAATAGTTGGCTAACCCGCTTTTAGTTAAATGGCAAATAAGCTGACTTTGTGCTCTCTCTCACTTGTCTGAACGCAGTTGGGTAAATAACAGAGGCTAGGCAAAAACACAAGCTCGAGCCGAAAAGCCAGAGGAAAGTTGCAAGGATAATGCCAACACACCCAACCCACGCACACACACTTTCACACATGTGAATATGTGCATATCCTTGTGCTATGTTGGAAAACGGTCAGCAAAACGCCACTGAGAAAATAAAATCGTTTTGTGTATCTTTCTTTAGACACGCTTTTCATTTTTCCATTTGTACGGCGCTCATTTATTCATTTTCAAAGGATTTTCAAATGCTGAGGCGTCAAAGTAACCGCTGTTGCTGTGTTTCTTGCAGTGTATTTTCACTTGAGTTTTTTGTATCTACTTTTGTATGCACATCTGCGTATGAATGCAATTTTTCACACGCTGTCATTTAGGGCATTTTTGTTGTTTTTTTTTTATTGTGGCAACATTTTTATTACTTTGTAGTTTGAGCAGCTTAGCTTTAGAGCTGGACTAATCAAAATATACTCAAATGCCCAGTGTATATTCAATTATCTGCACTGTGCTTTATAAATCTATTTAGTTGCTGATTTGACGAGCGTTCGATCTAAACTCAATCTAAGCTGTCGTGATGCACTTTAGCATATGAGCATTTAAGTAGATAGAAAATGTAATTGCTAGGCAAATTTCGTGATGAACATACTTGACAAGGTTTTTAGTTTGATCAAAGGGGAACGATAATTTTTTATTGTGCCGCTTGACCAACGTGACGTATGCGTAATACCGATGCGGCCGAATTGAATTACAATGCACGCTCAAAAGTATGCAATGCAATTTGCTGCACGCAGCAGATCAAATAATAAAATTGCCAGCCTAAGAGTATGCAATGCCAGAAATACCAAAACAAACTGACGCCCAATTTCCGCGTCGCAGCTTCGCAATGCCCTAACCGTGGGTTCAGCCATACAAGAGGCGCGCTGTTTTATCTAATTTAAATAAATTTGTTTTGAATATGTATTTAAAATATTATTGGACGAATCGAAGCTCGATAAATAATAAACAAAACACATTAGTTATTTTATGTTTTCTAACTGGACAAAACGTTGGCTTTCAACTCTCAAGAGAATATTTAATTTATTTTTAATATTTTTATTTGACTTTGAGTTAGAGTGTTGGCCAGGTTAAAGTGCCACGTTAACCGATATTGCCCAAGCACGAGACCAAAACTCTTTAGAAGACCACACACTCGCACACCACACACAACACACAAACAAACACACGCACACACACACACACACACACACACGGCGAAAGAGATAGGCAAATACAAATACACACGTGACTGTAGCTGTAAATAAATAAACAATAATTTGAGCCACGTTTATGTACGAATGTATGTGTATGTTTGTGGGTGGCTGAGTGTGTGTGTTGGTGTGTGTGTAGTAGCATAAAATGTAATGCAAATGGAATAGGTAGAGGAGAAGTGGAGTTGTTGGAGGAGGCAGCGAGCTTGGCGCTCATTGCGCGCTGCGGTTTCATTTGTGAGTTTTAATTAAATACGTTTAAATATTTGTTATTTCCGACAGGCAGACAAACCAAACGACCATCAACAACAACAGCAACAGCAACAGCAAAGAGCTTCAGCAACAGCCACCTGGCAAATATTAGCGAAAAATTAGCAAAGTATTTTAAGCGCAACATGTTCGTCCTGTGGTTTTCAGCGTCAAATCCTCTGGCTGCATCCTCATGTGGCTTCAGTTCCAATGTAAGTGGACCCCTGCGTCCGTGTTGGGTCTGTGTATTGGGTGTACACACACGCACACACACACGCTCACGAACACACATCATATTGTGTGTTGTGCGCTTGTTGCGTGTGCATTTCATTTATTTATAAATAACGCATAATTAATTTAAAATGCGTGCCTGAAATTGCCGTTAAGTGCTTAATCCTGTAAATGCAACTGGACACGCACCTAAACAGACAATTTTCTGGAATCCACTTGTTTCAAAATGCATTCTAAACAATGCAGCTGCCGAAAGAATGGCTTATCATTTGTAATACACTAATTGCTAAGGTCTCTCAAAAGTGTTATGAGACAGGAGAGAAACACGATCAGCGCAATTTTTGTTAATTGTTAGCATAATTTTCAATAAAGGGAATTTCTTAGTCATAAAACGAAGTGAATTGCTAAGGGACTAGTGAGAAAACTTGTGTTCAGAATAACAGCTCGAGTTCGCAGCCCCTCGACACAGTTTTAATTAGATAAGTATCTATATAGCGTTAAGTATCTATCTTATCTAACTCAGACTGTTGCGAGAGACAGCGAACTTACTCTGCAAATTTAAAGTCCCTAGAGCTTTATGTAACGGCAATATTTTATAATCATTTTTAAGCAGACTTGATCTGCGCCGGTTATCAGTCCTATTGTATCTGAGATGGAAGCGTTCTTACATACGAACAAACAGACGGACGGGGGGATAGACAGGCAGACAGAAGGACGTGTCTCAATTGTATCGACCATTGATGCTGAGTAAGGGCATTTTTACTTTATGGGGTCGGAGATGCCTCCTTCTGCCTGTTATATACATTTGCCCAAATCCAATACAGTAAGTAAAAAGAAAGTCCACCATGTCACATAATATTCTATTAATTCTCTTGCCTTTCATAGAGCGTAATGATATTTTTGGTTGAGCTCATTTAGATGAAGCGAAAAACCATCACATAATATTCATAATATTTTGTGGTTTTCCAAATAGCGTAATCAACTCTTTTTGCTTTGTTTACCAGCTCGTTAAACCCTTTTTCTAATTACACAAAATTCACCAGCAAAATAATCAATTAAATAACTGCATTCCCTTGCAGACTGAAATTATTTTAGAGCTCTCGAAAAACCCATTTGTTACCCAGTCAAGAGTAGGGTCAAATAAACTAAAGCCCTAATGATTCCTGAATACCGCTGCTTGATGGTATTTTGTGCCTAACCTCTCGCTTTTCTGACTGTTTTAGTTTGGCCTCAAAAATTGTCAAAGTCGCTAAGTTGAAATTTTACATGCGGTCAAATTAACTTTTATCGCGTATAAAATTGTGCGACCACAACTCGAAACAAGTTTTAAAAATTTAATTTTAAATACCAGAGCAGCGCTTGGGGGTTGAGGGCGGAGGGGGCTGGGCGCATACTCGTATAATAGGCCGATCTGCATCAATTAAGAAAATAATCCGCGCATTATGCGAATAGTATATAAATATTATTTGACAGCAGCCCAGTGGCAAAAACTGTCGTCGAGTGGTCAAAAGTGCAACAGGAGACAGGAGATGGGGGACGGGAGACGGCAGACGGGAGAGCGGGGGACAGTTCAGCAATCCGGGTCGGGGATTAAGGGACCATTATGCGAACATTTTCAACATATGCTAAACGAGCGGAAAAAAAACTCCTGAACCATGTCATGTGGCGGTCGCAAATGATGTTGCTGATGATGGCCAGCGGATGCGGATGCGAATGCGGATACGAATGCGGATGTTTTGGGGCAGTTGATGATAATGACGATGACAGGTGTTTCATGAAGTACACATGACATTTATGAACTGCAAGGACACACAACAAATATGCTTGGCTAACGGCGATTATTGGCAGAAGGACAAAAAACAGCTTGCTTCCTGGGTTAGTTGGAATCGCTGCAAAGTATAGATTTTTAATATGGATAAAGAAACACCAGAGAAAAATATAATATAAATAAAACAAAATGTTACATCGAAAAGCGCAGACACATAATATTTGTTCTTAAGACGGATAAACATTTTTTAAAAGTTTCTTTTTAATATTAATTGTAGTAAATTAAAGCCCAGTCCTTGACAGCTTGTCAGCTTATCTAATCATAAACAAAAGAAAAGTTCGACAAAATCATCAATAAATTTTGTATTATTGAACAAAATTTAAAGCTGCTGTGTTTTCTAGATTTTTATCTTGAATATATTTTGTATTGGTAAGTAATCAAGTTGAAAATCGCTGAGTTTTCTAGATTTTTATCTTGAATATATTTTGTATTGGTAAGTAATCAAGTTGAAAATCGCTGGAGATGTCAAGGCTCTATTACCTGAAAATATGTATTGAACCGAAGGTAAATAAGGGACAAATAAAAATGATAGTCTTTAATAAATATCCTTTTAGTATTTTGTTATTAATTTCGAAAGGATTATTTTGTGCTGATTCCGTGCAATCATTTTTATGGTATTTGTTTTTGTTTGGCGCGGCACATGCGAATTTCCATGAATTGTCCATGACAAACTATTTTGATATATTTTTGATCTTTTTATTATGGTCATCAAAGTATACATATTATCAAAGCCCCCCGCTCTACCCCAAGCCCCCTCCCCGCCCACCTCTTCACGCATCATGCGCTGTTGATTTGATTTACACCAAATGCAAAATTCAAAACTGTTGTCGTTGTCGTTGAGAGGTGCCAGCTGTGCAACAGGGCGTATGATGAATTTGGTTAAATGCCACAATGCGCTACTCTTTCAAAAGCCGAAAAGCATTTCACGTATGTGCTTGCCACATGCCACATGCACACACATTCCTGCGCTTGTGTATATATTTACATTTGTATAAAATTATTTAGTTTGTTTATTTAGTCAGCTACCTGCTGTGCGTAGATAAATATAAATTGTAACCATTTTTATGCGTTTATGTATTTAGTCACATCAAATGCAATTAGTGCGCGTTCAGCCTGTTATAAAGGTGGCAGCTTAATTGGCTAGCTACATAATTTTCAGGCGCAAGAGAGGAAAATATGTTACGCTTTGAGCTTGGCTGCGGTCGCAGTTACATAACTCTTCGCTCAGGTATTATATTAAATTGTTACTCCGTTCTATCTTTATGCAAAGTAATCCATGTAAGGAATTTCTTTTGCCAAATTGAATTCTTCTTAGTAGGTCGTTTTGGCAAAGATTCATCGGGTTAAATCTGTCGACTTAATTTGTTTCATATGATTAGATATTATTATATATATTCTCATTTATTCTTTGTCTACTTAACAAACGGAATTAACTCAATTCAACAACTAATTGCGCTTGTTGACCGCGCGAAAACTCAATTTGCTTGAATGTTTGCCTTGACAAATTTGGCTTTCAACCATGTCAAATGCCATCAATTTGGCCAACAATATTCACGGCAATTAACAAATTAATTGCCTACTTTGAGGCTGCACTTGAAGCCCGCACACAGACACTATGCACAGAGATGCCAGTGCAGGCTTTGCTGGTTAAGCTAATTCCCAATGGCATCTTAGTTTTATGGGCAACACACCAACAACAACGTCAACGTCAACAACAATAACAACAACAAAGCACAAATGCTGAAACGCTAATGAAATTTCCAAGCTGAGCTGCACAGCTGCCCAGGGAGTACAACTTCTGCCCGGTAGGTGGCGTATTTGCAAAGCTTTTAATATAATGACACATTATCAAGGCAGCGAGTCAAAGACACACGAGACGACACAAGCACACAAGCACACAAACACACACACACACACTCACAGGCACACATGCACACATGCACACAGATAACGTAAGCCATTCAGCGTAAGCGAGACAGCTTGTAAAAGCGATTGTAACAGAGGGAGACAGCAAAGCCAGTGACTGCAATTGTTTGCTTTGCATATACCCTTTACAAAGGTTGTGCAACACTGATGCATTTATAACGGTAGCTCCTAGAAGAAGCTTGAAAGTTCGTTCACATTTGCGCGTTGAATTTGCAATTGTTTTCAATGCTAAGCGAAAAATCACATTAATTTGTAAGATGAGTTTTAAATAAAAAGGACGATTTAGTTTTAGGGAAATATTCTTGGTCAAAAATTGACATCATATCAGAAAATATTTTTTCATGCCATGTAGTTTTCCGAGGTTTCTTAAATATGAGCGTAATTTTTTTTTGTCGGACCAGCACCTCTTATATTTAAAAATTGTAGAATATGTGCCAGTCTTTTAATCATTGACAAGCAAAAGACTTTAAAAAAATGTACACAAGTATTGGAATAAAAAATATGTAAGAACTTGAGAAGAAAAAAAAACCTATAACAATTTACCTTAAATGCCGGGGAATATCAAATAATTGACTGTGAATGTAATATATCTGGCAAAAAATAAAAAGAAAGCAACTTATTTTATGCAAGATTAGTGCTATATTTTTCAATATTCAATGGAATGAATATATTTTTCATGGTGCGTATTTACATTGATGTCTGCATCGCTCAAACGTACACTAACAATATAAAGCTTGCTTCATTTTATATGGATTTACTGTCGATTTATTACTGCCGTTGAATTTGTTGTTGTTCAGGTTGGGTTGGCTGCTGATATTACGTATACGTGCTGTCAGACGGCCTATTTGATTGTAACTTCCACGTTGCAAAATGCGATTTAAATGGTTGCCCCCAAAAAATGCAAACAAACAAGCAAACGGAGTGCATCTCCTCGACGCCCTTCACCCCCGCCGTCTGTCACACTTTTGCCTTTCATAAAATATGCAACAGCAGCAACGCTTGTTGCAACAATGACAGTATCAACAACAACAGTTGCAACCAGCAGCAGCAAAAACAAGTACAGGAATTGCCAGCGCATCCATTTAATTTCATTTTAATGCACAGCATATCCTGGCAAGGTGTACCGCCCCGCCCCCTGTCCGGCTCTTTGATTGCCGTATAGCCCCTTGTCCTTATGCAGAGTGTAAACAATTTTGCCTTATCAAACAATCGAAACATGGGCGCACATTCCGACAGCAGTGGGCGTGGCCAATTAAATGACTCTCGGTTCTGTTTAATGCAAAACTTTTGGTCAGCTGCATATTATTGCATTTATTGCTCTCATTATTATTATTATTATTTTTATAATTACTGTCATTTGTATTTGCCCGCTGTCTGTGTTTGCCAAGTGTTGAGCGCATTTTTACGAGCACTCGAAATGAATAATTGTTGTGTTGTGTTTCACAGAGAAGCGAGTAGGGAATGTAATTCAGTTGAAAACAAGCAGGAGTACTTAATTTGGATGTGCCCGACTAGGACTTACCCTGAACCTAGCTAGAATTATAATGGTTTTCTCGTAAACATTTACAACAGTATAAAACCAAAATTTTCAAATTCTAGAACTTAAAGTTGTCTAGAGAAGTTCTGCTTCTGCCTGCGACGCACAGTTACGCAAACCCTTTCCACCCATTTACAGGGTATAAAAAGATTGTTGCAATTGCTAAAGAGTATAATAAAAACTAAAGAAACAAGAAACTAGACAGCGGGCTTAAGTCTTATAAAAATTAAACGACAACAGGCGCTGTATAAACCGATAATCCAAAGAAAGAAATTGTTTTGGGGTTTTCCTATTGTTTTTCGATACAAGTAACGGGTACATTTACGCTTGGGCTATTTCAATTTTGTTAAGAAATATATATCAAAGAGCTTTCGCCGACCTGTTTAAGCCTATATATTCTTGGATATAGCTCTGTTGGACTGCAATCGACTTTAATGCTGACAGTTTTGATACAAAGAATAGGATGAATAGCTCATTAGCAGACTCTCGCACTTGAAAGTGTTTTGCTTGTTTTCACTCATGCCCAAAAAGAAATATTACTTATTTCTCTATAAATAAATCACAAGCTTGTCAAAAATAGCACAGGGAAAAAAGTACTTCCAAATTTGGTTAAGTTGCAACGTCGGGAGAAGACAATCTCAAATAATCCAAATAAATGTAATCATATTTTGAGATGTATTTAAATAACATCTTAAACATTACAAGATCTTGCTGCTTATCGAATTCTGAGATTATAATGCGCAACAAAAATGATATAATAATACTCGGCAATACTCATAATGTTAATAGCTTCAAGTGGCTGAGCACAAAAGCAGGAAACAAATTTGCTGAAAAGCCAAAAAAATCAAATCTGAAATCTGTAGCAATATTCAAGGTCAGAGAACGTTTCGAGTGTTCTATTGAGGTACTTGAGCAGAGAACATGCTAAGTCGAGTGGTAAGAAATTGTTGAAAATTATTCAAATTAAACAAATGTAAACGCAGTTATGGAAATAATATTACATAATTGTGGCAAAGCCATTAAATAAGCCCAAAACTTAGCATTTACTATCCATTGTATTGTTATTTAAGCCATAATACGGTAGCCAATATATTACCAAAAATTGTAACGAGAAAAAACGTTCCATTCGAAGATACAAAAGCCACTTCACATGCAAAAACCTGATCCAAAAATAATTGTGTTCAAGTGCGTGGCCAACTAAGTTGAAGGCGGACGCTTTACCAAACGCGCTCGCTGGCTAACTCGTCATAGCCACATTATCAAGTGGTTAATAGAGCCCAAGACGAGCCGTCGTCATCTTTTTGTTTTTTTCTATTTTTTTTTTTGATGCGCACTTGACTTGGCTCCATATTTCATATGTTTAATTGATCGTGTGTTATTTTTTTGCTTTACTTCTTTTGGGACTGTTAATGAAAACCAGATATCTGAGCTGAGATGTGAATGATCCATTTTTCGCTATAAATACGCATTGCGAATTGGACCAAGGCATCATTGGGTTCAATACCTACGACACAGTAACATCTTCAGTCAGTTCGCATAGTTCGTTAGTACACAAGAACTAAAGCTACAGCATGGTGAGTGTCCTAAAATAAATTTAGCACAACTGTTCTAAAAATTAGAACTCAGTACATACATTTTTTTAAATGTTTTGAGCATGTTTGACGCAGGCTTATTAAACTACAAAGCTCCATTTTTGAAAAGAGCACTTAACGTTTTTAGTACATGTGTACTGAAATGAAAAGCCTTCAACTTTTAGTACCGCTGAACTAAAATTTAAAACCCAATACAAGTAGTGCATTAAATTTTTGAAGATATTTACAACATTTAAGGTGCCTTCGCATAGAAATAAAAACCTAAATAGAATCTACTTTTAAAGTGATGTTTTTTAGTACATTTGTACTAAAAGCAAAGCTCTCAATGCTTTGAACAACTGTACTAAAAGGAAAAAAAAATATAACTTGCAAAGCTAAGTTTTACCATATGCTTTGACTTTCTGTCTTTGACTTTAGTACGTATGTACTATCAAAATAAGCCCCTTTTTAGATGTAGATCGTGTTGGATAAAGATTGAACTGTGCTCGATTTTCCTTTTTCATAGAAACTCTTTATCGCCGCAATCTCCCTTTGCCTGGTGGCCATTGCCGCAGCTCAATCCGCGGATCCTGCCGTCCAGGACCCTTCGGTTGAATACTTGCCGCCTGTTGGTGATGCTGAGGCTGCCGCTTTGTCAGAGGATGGCTACCGTTACAAGACGGTGCGTCGCCTGAAGCTGCGCCATCGCCGCGAGGTGCCCAGCCAGGAATATCTGCCACCCACACAGGAGTATCTGCCGCCCGTGGATGCCGTCGAGGTGGCCGACACCAAGGTTGCCGACGATGGCTACCGCTACAAGACCGTGCGCAAGCTCAAGTTCCGTGCCCGTCATCGTCGCGATGTCTCCGAGATCGTTGAGCCCTCCAGCGAATATCTGCCACCTGTTGATGTTGAGCTCGCCCCCGAGCTGAAGACCGTGCTGGGCGCTGATGGCTACCGCTACAAGACCGTGCGCAAGCTTAAGTTCCGTCGTCATCGTCGCGAGGCCGATGCCGCTGCTGAGGATGCCGCCGCCGCTGAGGCAACCAATGGCGAATACCTGCCCCCTGTTGAGGCACCTGCCGCTGAGGTTGCCGAGGTCAAGACTGCCGAGGTGCCCGCCGAGGGCACTGAGGTCGGCAAGGATGGCTACCGCTACAAGACCGTGCGTCGCATCCGTTACCGTTACCGCCATTAAGCTACTGACACCCGAACTTAGGCATATTGAACCAAATTGATCCTGATAGTACACAGAGCGTAGCAGCCAGGCATCGGAAAAGTTTCCCATTTGGTTAGTTTCCACTTGCTTGGCTAACGCTCGACCCGTTTCCATTCTCCTTAAATACTATTACCCTTAGTTTTTCATTTGTACTCCCCAAAGCATAATGAATAATAAAGTTTATTCACGAAAAACGATCTTGCATCATATTTATTTCAAGTGAGGAAACAGTCGGATATAAAACCTGTGTCTAGGTCACGATTCCTTCAATAAAAACTTTTATATCTTATGTATAAATATATATATGTATATGTAAGAATGGTGAACCAATGAGAATCGCATAGTAAGGCAATGATTAAAAATACTATTTTTATTCAATTTAGAGCGCAGCAAAAAAAGTTACTAAAAAGGTGAACTAAGCCCGGTCGTTTGGTATATGAGAACACAAGCACATACAAAATAAATAAGAAAGAAATTTGGGTGTGTAAGAGTGTATGAAAGTGTATTATCTATGCTTACTCAGGCCAACTTGGTTTCCCTGATTTAACAAATTCTTAGGAGGATATAAAAAGCAACTGAATATATATATATTGACAGCTTACTAAAAAAGAGTTCTTGCTTAAATCAATATAATTTACGCTCTGTGATGAAATCAAAGATTTTTGTTAACCAGTTTCAAAACATTTCAATCATCGATCAAAATCTAATTTGCTAGCATCAAATGAGCTTTTCTGGCAGCTCTGCTGTTTCGCTTTGCATTTGCATTATTATCAATGATTGTTAGAGTCGTTAAGACTATTTGTGGTACCGAAAAATCAAATCAAAATAAAATTTTTCCTAAATTGCACATTAAAATGGCAGCCGAATAGGCCAAGAAGAAGAAAAGTGCACACAAAAGAAGCCAATAAGCAAAAAACTGGAATTGAAATCAATGGACAAGTAAGGGCCAACGGGCAGAGCGAAAAGCGAATCTCAAAAATAAAAAACTTTCGGCAAATTGCAAAATTCTATTTAGAAATGAAGTGTGTGCTTTTAGGCGCACCAGCTGAGCAGCAGAAAGTGCAACGACTCGGCGAAGGCGACCGCCCCCAGCCCACAGCCCCCAGCCCCCAGCCCCGGCGCCCTCTGAAGCAGCTTTCGGTAGTTTTCAGTCAACTTTTCGTAATATTATTTTGCATTTATTTGCACAACGTTCGTATTGCTTTGTTTTCTTTCGTTGCTTTGGCCGAAAATAATAAAAAACAAGCGTGCTGTAGTCAGGAGTGCCCGTCTAGCAGATACCCTGAACTCAGGGACGAGCTGCTATCAAAAACAATTTAGCAGATCCAGACACACATGCGCGTTTTCGTGCAGAGACACCCGACACAAATTCAAAACACAGAATTTCAATATCGATTACCATAGATTGCAACGAAACGAGGAAAGTTTTGGATGATTTCAGATAATCTTGTATTGTGCGAAACATCTGAGGATCAGAGTTTAAGCTTTCAGACATCTACATATCTAACAGACATACGGGCATAGCTAAATCAACTCCCTTGTTGGGAATAAAGATGCGGCCTTCTGCCTGTTACATACGTTTGCACAAAACCATTATACCCTTTTTAGCTTTTCTCAGGGTAGCAATACGCCAAATTACAATATGGCAGCCGTGCCTTGGGTCCAGAGCCTCGCCGTCTCTCCTCGTCATGGACGTCGGCGAGCTAGCGAAAAAAAACGGGAAAAAAGAAGCTAAATAGAACATTTTGTGAGCCAAAACATAAAGTTACGTAATTGAGCGCTTGACTTTGTGAAGCAGCGGCTTGAAAAGGTCGCCAGTTCAAAACCTTCAGAATTCTATGAATGTTAATTTTCCAAATGGTTCGCTTCGCTCTTTATTTTTTATTAATTTTTAAACCCTGAACCCATTAAAAATGGGTATAAGGGTATATTGTATTTGTGCAAAATCCAAATGTATGTAACAGGCAGAAGGAAGCATCTCCGACCCCATAAAGTGTATATATTCTTGATCAGCATCAATAGCCGAGTCGATCTAGCCATGTCCGTCCGTCCGTCCGTCCGTCCGTCTGTCCGTCCGTCCGTCCGTATGTATGATCGCTAGGATCTCAAAACCTATAAGAGCTAGAGACTTGATGTAGATGCTCCTAGTTCCCGCGCAGATCGAGTTTGTTTCCGATAATCGATAACTTGCTCCGTTTCCAAGCAATCGATAAGAATCGATATCGATATCCTGTTTTTTGGGCAATTTTGGTAAATAATAAGAGCTAGAGTCACCAAACTTGACATATAGCTTCTAAAATAGAATAATATATATTCTATGCATTTGATGTTGGAAGAAGAGGGTTCAGGGTATCCCCTAGTCGGGAGCTCCCGACTAGAACCTCTTACTTGTTTTTTTTTATCAAACTGTTTAAATTGTTAGCCAGCACTCAAAGGTGTTTGCTAATATAATAGACCAAATTATTTCATTAAAGTGGTGAACCAAAAAAGGCTTCAAATGCTTTTGAACCGAAACGATTTGAACCCGGAATTGCGAATTAACTGAAACCAGAAAGAGGAGAAGCCAGAAGAAGGAGAAAAGCTGAATAAAAGCTGCATTTTGGGTTTCAATCAGATTTCTCGTACATCAATTGTTCTGGCCCAACCCCGGGCATAGCTGAGCAGCAATTGATAGATTATTATGCATTTCATAATATAACTAGGGGGTATTTAAGCTTTGCCAAATCCAATTAAAATCATAAGGCCATTTGCTTATATCATTTACGCCTCAACGTCAAACTAAACTAAATTGCAACGCTTGACTTGACTGGAACGCCTAGATAAATAATTTATTGAAACTGGATTGTCTGTGAAATTTGAGTGAAACAATTTGCAGCTAATTTCATTGTGGCCTCTTGCAATTGCATTTGTGGCAAATGCATTGCAATCTGCACACAAAATATTATCTAAATGCTGGCATATGTGTATTTGTAAAGTCAATCAGCTGCAGCTTAAGTAAATTACGATACGAATTTATGTAATTTTTGTGTCAGTTTGTTAAATAAGTAACGCACATAATTATGCTTATAGCTCATTAAATGCTTCGCGCAGTTATCTTTCGAATTTCTGAAAGTCTCGTCATTTGGCTAAATGTCAAACGGAAGCGAAGCGACGCGACGTATGTGGCAAAAGAAATCGCACAAGATAATATTTAAATGGATTTTTAATGGAAACAGAAAGCGAGCAGCTGCCACAAAGATGTTTCTTTGGGTGGAGCGGGCACTGAAAAATCTCCGAACGAAAGATAACCAAATCCGTTGGCCTGGGTCTGGGCAAATGGCAAATCAGAAATTGTGTCTTTCATCTGCTCGCCAGTCGGCTTATGAGTCAAGCCTCAAGCCGATTTGCCTTTAAATACTTCACCTCAATTTGCTGGCAAATGGTAGACACATAATTGAAAAAATGCCAAGTACTCAGTACTCAGAGTACTCCATTCCGGGCTAGTTTAGTGCGCTGACCCAGGCCAGACCGCAGGGGAAAAAAAACATGCAAGAAAACTCGCCTATATACAGAGCATAATATTAAATAATTCACAAGTTTTCAACTTAGAAACTTTTGCACTGCGCCCGCCCAGAAAAGTTTTACCTATTTTAATTTTTTTGTATTTGACTTTCGAATATTTTTGCCTTGATGATGTTGTTCTTGCTGTTCGGGTGCAAGCCAATCGCTGCTAATTGGACCAGACCAGGCCAACTACGGATTCAAATATATGGCAAGCAAATGGCCAAAAAACAGCCAGCTATTAAAACTGTGCGCCTCAAAGTCAAATGGGCTGCTAACTTTATAAAGAATAACAGTTGGGGTAAAAAGGCAATCAGCTGTAGTAAAACTATTTTAAGACATCATTTCAAGACTTAAGTGCGAAATTGATTGACAATTTGTATGATGTGCAGGGTTCAATATATCAAAAAGCTTATATTGTAGTATGGCAAGGAAATGCAAAAAAATAAAAAATATATGCATTAAACCTATTGTTAAGTTATAAACAAGGAAAAGAAGAGGAATTCTATAAACGACTGCAGATTGTCATAAGTATGTATGTATAGGTTAATAATGGTATAAATATGAAAATAATCTCCTATTTACAAATTTTCTAAAGCAGACTTTTATAAATGCATGTCATTTAAAACAAACAACAAAGTAGAGAGCAGCATTAGCGAGAGCAGGTGAATGAATTATGAATTATATAAGATAGAGAGTGGAAGAAGAAGTGCAAGATATAAAAGAAGATGACTACATTGACAAAGCAAATTAAGTGAATGCACGAGCAGAGTGAATGTTTATATTACACTCAAAACACTTCCAAGCATGGAAATCCGTAAGCCTAACTTAAATTCATGAGAATCGCATAGTAAAGCAGTGTTTAAAAATAAGGTAAAGGGATGTAAACTTGTTCTGCGTTTGGCATAAGGGAAATGGAGTACAAACGTAATTTTAAAAATATTCCAAAAATAGCCCCCTTTGTAAAAAAAGTATGTGAAACACGCCTCAAAAAGTTGTTAACTGATTAATCATTAATTTGTCACATTTACGAGTGGAATTTCCCCAAACTTCGTCTTACATTCCACTTACTTCACATAACATAGCTACAGAGATTAGGGCTGTACATCGGCCACCAATCAGTCAGTCAGGACAAACATATATATAGATGTGCATATGTAAATGCCCGTACTAGATGTAATATTTGCATTGTTGTTAATTAATCTCATTAAAAATATTGGACCGTGTGTCGAGCGCTGTTCGCTTCATCAGCATCAGCATGCACACACACACATGCACAGGAACATATGCGCGCATATGAATGCTGATAAGTCTAACAATACGAATGGAGGGAATAAAATGATGGGCATATGCATATGCCTGTAATGGCCCACAGAACGAACGATTGATAAACGCGAATGCCGGCGTCGACGCTGACGCTGACGTTGACGTTGACGTCGCTAGCGTAGCTTATTTTTCAGATGACCAAACGAGACGGCGACGACAGAAGCAAAAAGTAAATAACAACTGCGGCAGCGTCGGAGGCAGCGAGTAATAAAGTTGATTGCAGGCAGTGGCAGGCGGCAAATTGAATATTTGTCTTTGTGTGCGTGTGTGTATGCGTTTGTGTGCGCGCGTACGTGTGCTTTGCATTGTTTGTATTTGTTCGCATTGTTAAATGTCAGTAACAGAGACGCAAGAGAGCAGACCCGAGCACTCCCACGCTATTATGCTGACAAGCCATTGTTAACGGTAGTCTCAGTGTGGGGCCTCTGCCAATCGCAGACTCTTAGCGCCTGCTACCAACACACGTTGTACTTAGTTATTTGGTCCAGCTGCCAAGGGCAAACGCAACCCTCGCTCTCAACTGTTGTGCTCTCTTTGCTGTGCTCTTCGGTTACTCGCCGCAGTTTCGTACTGCTTGTTGCTTTGTTTTTGTTATGTGCACTGTAAGTTGTTGCTGCTGCGGCTGCTGCTGTGGCTACTGCTGCTGCTGCTGCTGCTGTGGCTGCGTCTTTTGCTGCTCTTGCCAATCTTGGGCATTATCGATTTTCTTTTGTTTACTTTGCTCGCTCACATTTGTTTGTTATTGTTGTTGTTGTTGTTGTCTGTGGGTGCGTGCCCCTTTCGCGTTGGTTTTAGTTTTTGGTTGCTTGTTTATTTGCTTTTGCCAAGCGCTTGTTGATAAGCTGAGGCGCGCGGGCGGGTTCATTGCGTTCTATTCATGGCTCTGTATTGTTTGCAGATATGAAGAGGATTTATGGCTAGCAAAAAAGAAATATACTCAATTATATACGTATGTATAAAAGTATGTGTGCTTACACATTTATTTGCTTTGTGATCAGTTCCTGTACTTTTCTTTTGTTCTATAATCACTCAATGGAAATATTTAGAGCGTTTATCACCTAGGAGGAGCCTCAAGAACTATAAGGCCAAGACGCTGTCTTATATCGTCTAACAATATAACTAAGTACTAAAGACTCCTATTTAGATTGGTTTTCGCAGAATGGATTTCTTATTTTGATTATAATGATTATCTAGCATTAAATTGGCTGATTATCTAACATTTATTTGGATTTAGGGGCCACGATTAAAACTGCAGCTGCTGCCGCTTCGCATTTCAGTTGACAACACGTTGCTAGGTTTATTGGCAACAGCGCAAAAGTTCCCCCAATTGTTTACATCAGCAGAAAGCTGACCGAAAAGCATCCTCTCAGCATTTGAAACAGCCGGACCGACAGCAACAACAACAAGAACAACAACAAGAACAATAACAGAAGCAGCAGCAGCAGCATATTATAACAACTAAGAGAGCCGAACGCAGCCCCCAAACAACGCGTGGGTCTTTCTCTCTCACACTCTCTCTCTCTCGCTCTCGCGAGTGTCACTTATTGCATACACAAACAAAAACATTGGCAGAGCGCAGCAGGCAGCAGCAGGCAGAGCGGCGCTCTCTATGTGGCTTACGTGCGCTCAGCAGCGGCTGCTGCGCCGCCAATTTGCAAGAAAATTTAAGTTCGTTTACAGTTGGTTTTGTGGGGCAAGTTGTGAAAAACAGCGGCGACCAGCAGCTGCTGCCAAGAAGTGGCAACAAAACGTTGGCTGCCGCAAAGTCAGAGCGACGCACCACATGCATACATACATATGCACAAATATAATAAACATTTTTAAATTAATAATATACGAATATCAATTGAGCTTGCAATTGTGCTGTGTCTGTGTGTTCGTGTTTGTGTGTATGTGTGTGCAGTTGTTGTTGTTGTTATTGCTGCTCTCGCTGCGTCCGCCCGCTTATTTGAGTGTATACACACACATACGCACACATACGCATCGCACTGCAGCTGTGTTTGTGAATTTTGTGGTACATTTTGCGCTCGCATCGTTTACAGATTTTTGTGGTGGCAAATAGTTGTTGCATAGCCTTCATACAACACACAGCAACAGCCACAATTACTAACACTGCGACAAGTGGCAGCAACCGAGCAACCGAGCGACGCGCGAACGAGCGAGCAGCCACAGCAACAACAACAGCAACAACAATAACAACAACAATAACAACAATAACAAGCAACGTTTTGTTGTTTTGTTAATTGAAATAAATTGATATAAATTCTCAACGTGCTGCTCATATTGTTAATAAATACAACAACAAAATGAATAAACAACACGGCAGCAGAAAAAAATAAAATCCACTAAATTTGTGAGCTAAAAAATAGCTTGTTTTAGTTGCCTGCGAGGCGCCAAATGTTTTACAGTTAACATTCATGAAAACAATTAATAAACACACAAATTGGCCGCTAACAAAAATTAGCAGCTAATTCAAAAACATATATACAAACTCATCTTCTGCAAATTAGATTGGAATTTGGGCAAGTGCAAGTGTGTACACAGTGCAAAAGTGTGCACAAATTGTTTTTATTATATCAATTATAATTTGTGCTTATTTACTTTTTTTTTTTTTGTTTTTGGTACCAGCAACTCGGCATATCTTACTTTGTTGTGCGTATTTTTAGCGCTTATGCATAAAGTGTGTGTGTGTGTGCGTGTGTGTGTGTGTGTGTGTGTGTGTGTGTGTGTGTGTGGTGGACATTGCAACAAGCACACAATTAAAAATCAGTTGAAACAATAAATTGGCAAAAAACAAAAACTAAAAAAAAAAACGAATTACAAGTAGAAGGCAAAAGAGGCGGCAAATCTGTTACGTAAGCTGCGAGCGACAACAAGCGTAAGAGAGAGAGAGAGAGAGAGAAAGACACTGTGAGACAGACAGTGAAAGACATAGCAAGAGAAAGAGAGAGAGAGAGCGATAGAGAGAAGGGAAGCTGCTCAAAGGATTGGTAAGAAGTGTACGTATTACATATGTCCTACTTTATTTTTATAAAGTATAATATATGAGATACTTTAAAAAAATATATTTATCATATATATACATAGATGTATGTATATATAATAGAAAATGTTGTAGATCCATTTCAGTGAAAAATGTTCTTGAATTGTTAGTAAAATGATATTACAACTTTATTCATATCTATGTTAGCTTCATTATAATAAATTCCCGAAATTCCCTTAATTATAAATAATACCCGAAATCCGAAACTGCCTTTCAAATAAAGTTCCCGAACGGAAAGAAACCCGTTTTAACTAGAAACAAATTTTATTTAATTTTATTTTAATTCTAAAAATTGTACTTTGACTTTGATCAAGGGATTTTTCCCTTTCATTTTAGTTGAAATATTACACCTAACGCATTTCACATACTCATATGATTCAAAAAACGGAACAGAACTATTATGGATATGTATATTAATATATATATATGTATATATACATATATACATACATATATATGTTTGTTTGCCGATATACCTGCACATTCTCGACCACAACGCTTGAGTTCTAGGAATGCGAAGCCAGAAATGTTTATTTTATACGATTTGTTTGGCTAACTTATAATTGTACTTTGTTTGTGCGAAGTACTTATACATATGTATATGCATGTATTTACGTATAAAATAATATCGTTGTATACTCATGCTTTTTTACCTGAATCAAATAGTGACATGCTATTCCCATAGGTTTTACAAGCCAAAACAATGTTGAGAGAAATTTGATCTTGTTCTATTAATATTATCTTAATCATTTTCAAACATGAGTTAGTAATTTAAGAATAAATTATTTTTACTATGCAAAAACTTTGTAATAAAATAAAACGATAGTTTTCCGGGATTTTTAAAATGTTTGGTTAAAAGAAACCTTATTTTATAAAGATTTCTTTTCCAAATAGCAGAAATTAAGTTTTCAAGACGAGTTTCTTAACAAATAATCATTTTTCAAAATATTATAATATTTTTTCTTCTTTAAAGATATATAGATAATTTGATGAAAGATATAAAGAAATATGTATTAGAATACAGGACATAAACTGAATTTTGCTGTATCAAAATCGGTAAAATCGGTTTTGAGTTATTTCAAACAATCCAGAGCAGTTAAAGTTGATGCTAGTCTTTCAATCTGAATAGCAGAAGTCATTTGAAAATCCAAAATTCTGCCCGTTTTGGCTTTTCATTGCTTTAACTATTGGGATAGAGGATTATTTCGTTTTTAGTTCAGCTATTTGCACTTCAAGTTCATTTTGTTTTTACACCCAATTTTAATCGATTTTTGAGCTAATTTGCATAGTTATTGCACTTGATTTACCCTCTTATTGCACTTGCATTTCTTACGTCTCTTGGCAAACAAATACCCTCCGTTGTAATTTCCTCGCATGTATTGATATGCAGGCATTCAGTTCATTGAACTTGAGACTCAGAAACAATGAACAAATCGCCCCAAACCCCTGTTAATAAGTGTCCGAAACGTTGCATACTTTTCGGCCAGATGACCAACAGGCAACAAATAATATTAACGATTTTCTCACTTCACACATCTTGCGCAGCATCTGAAAAGGGGCCAACACACACACGCGCACACACATACACACAGGCGCGCGTTACACGTGTGTGTGTGTCATGCGCAGAGCGCATTTTGGTAGTGGCAGCAAAAGAGACCCCAACCAAACACTTAAGAGTGAGTTAAGAGAGAAAGAGAGAACTATTCTGGCCATGGCCTTCTCGCGCCACAACATCGAAAAGCGCCGACTCATCGAGCTAGTTCGCCTCAATCCCATACTCTGGGACTGCCGTCTGCCCCACTACAAGCGCTCCGACAAAAAGAAGGCCATCAAATGGAACGAACTTGGCCGCATGTTCAACGTGAACGGGGAGCGAGTGCAGCGCACCTTCACCTCGCTCCGAGAGATCTTCAGGCGGGAGCTGAATCACGAGAAGATGCTGGGCACCACGCGCTTCAAGTCCAAATGGGAATACTACGATGCCATGGCATTTCTCAAGGAAGTCATCAGGGAGCGCAAGTAAGTACAATGGGCAACAACAACTGACAATATCGAAATAGTTTGCATAGCAAATTAACAAAGCAAATTCAACAATAAAGGAGTGCATGAAATTTTTGCGAAAAAATGTTTAAAATTTCTTTATTTTTGCATATTTTCAGTGTTTTTTATTAACACTAGATACGCTGAACTCACGCTAATATTTTATTTGTTTTCTAACACTGCATAGCGAAAAGCTCTTGAAAAAAATAAATTCTACCAACAAATCTGCAACGCCGTTTTTCGTTTATATTGTTCTTTGTATACTTCTGTTATGTTGGAATGTCTTTTCTATGTGCTTAAACAAAATGTTCTTTACATTAACACACATTTTATTGCAGAACATATATACTTAATTTATTTTCTTGATTCATTCCCAATAGATCTCGTGAGCGCATCAAGAACACTTCCGTGGAGTCTGCCGCCAACAACAACAATAACAACAACAACACAAACAATGCTAGCAACAACAACAATGCAAATATCAGCAGCAACAATAACAACAACAACAACAACAATACAAATAGCAACAGCAACAGCAATAACAACAACAATAGCGTGGCTCACGATGAATACCAATATTTCGCGCCCAGCGATCCAAACAATCCCAACAATCAGCCATTGAAAGCGAACATCGCAACAGTTAGTCAAGCGCCGCCAATCCTGCCCAGCATTAGCCAGTTGCCCGTCGGGCTGCAGCAGCAGGCACAGCATCTGCAGGCGCTTCAACTGCAGCCGGACGTGACATTGACATCGCTGCAGAAGACAACGCCAGCCATTGTCCTGCCCCTGACAGTTGCCCCAATGCCGGCCACATCGCCAGCTGCGGTGCAGCTGTGCAGCAGTTCGCGTTCGTGCAGCAGTTCACCCTCCATTTACATCAAGGACGAGCCAGACTCGCCAGACGAGACGAGCAGTCGGTCGGCGTTCAAGTCGCGCCAGAAATTGGCCACCATACGACCGCAGACCAAGCAGCAGTTGAAGGAACGCCTTCGGGTGGCCAAGGGGGGCGGCGGGAGCGGGCTCTATGCAACGCCACCGCCGCATCTGATTATCAGTACCAACAACGAGCTGATCGACGTGGATGCTGGTGACTTGGAGGATGACGATGACGACGATTTGGAGTACGACGATGATGAGGATGACGTTGAGGACCGGACGGCCTGTCCGCCCAAATCCGGCGTTAATATGCTCGCCGCCGACGGTCAACTCTCGCCTGGCAGCAGCTTCACTGGCGCCGGCGCGACAAGTGCGCGCCATCAGCCTAGTCCCCGGGAGCTGCTCTACATCAAGTTTGGTGACTTTCTTGCCGCACGACTGAATACCCTGCACGAAACGGTAGCCAATGAGCTGATGAACAAGATCCTACTGCTAATTGCCGAGAAGTGAGGAGTGGAAAGTGCAGTTCGCCACGTGAATCGAGGGATCTAATCCGTGCTAGCTGTGTGAGCGACGGGTAAGTAACCAAGAAAAACAGAGCCTAGGCCTTTTCTATACCCAATGAAAATAGAGGGGGTTTGAACCTGCCACTAAACTTTGAGCTTTGAGCATTGTAGACTTTACAAGGTTTTTGTAAAATATTACGAAATATTTTAAGCGAAAGTTTAGCTTCATTGGTTCAAGTCACATTAAAGCTTTTTCAGTGTGCTTTATATGGTGCAATATACAACAAAAGCTCTGATTATTCATTTAAAAGCACGTTAAATCTATGTTATATACAACAAAAGCTCCGCTTAAACATTTGAAAGCGCATCAAATAATTTAAATGAGCTTGATACGTATGGCATATTTTTTCTTTATATTTAGTAAAACAACAAAAGCTATACTAAAATACTTAAAGCTAAATAAAAGCTTTTTAATGCGCTTTTTAAATCATGATACATTTGTTTGCATATCACTTCCATTTAAGAAATCTACACTCTTTAAATATTATATTAAACAAGAAATAAATATGAGCTTTTATAAATTCATCTCCCACTATTTAATAAGTTGCTCAGAACATTCAACTTTCTCTCAAACATTTTTACTGTGTCCAAGTTTTGCGATGTTTCTATTAACTTATAGCTTGAGTGTGCATTTGTTGGCCCTAAAAAACTTGTAAAACTAGTTAAGTTCCACAAAATTTATTAGTTTGACCAATTTGTGTGGTCGCCACTTGAATTCGTGGCAAGTAACAACAATATATTTAAATTTATGTACACATTTGCCTTTTTTTTTTTGCATTTTGCACACACAACATGCCAAGACCATAAAAAAGTTTTAATTTCCGAACGCTGAAGTGGCCCAGACACACAAACACAAGCCCAAGTGCACAGACACTCGTGCAACATATCCGACAAAACGGAGCGAGTTGCAAGTTTTCCAAAAAATTTAAAAGCATTTCACGCATAAATAAAAAACACCCGAAGCTATGCAGCATGCCAAGTGAACGAAACCCAACTGATTCGATGCCGGACAATGACCCAGACAATGTTATAAAATAATTCAAAAAAAAATAATCAAATGTAAAAAACTAAAAGAAACGAGCCCATAAATTTCACACATTGCAGCGATTTCAATTTGAAATTGGCTAACTGAATGTAAGCCAAGAGGCGAATGGAATATTATAGTAGGAATGCTTTTGATAATTATGGCAATAAGAAAGGAGAAATATGAGAGAGAAATGGCAGATCCAAGTATAATTTATAATGCCATAGTTATGATACTTTTACGTATCTTAGAAAAAAAGTAATTCTTAGATCAATTGTTATATTTTTGTTGAATACTTTGATTAATTTATGGGATATAGTTGCCAAGCGACAACATCTGGGTATTTTTATCGGTTAATCAAATTTTGAAAATATCTTAATCTTTCTTGGTATTTTTGCTGCAGGCAGCAGATAAGTCGGTGCCAACAGATTGAAATCATCTTATCATATCTAGGCTAGAGTTCTTTTAGTTGCTTTGTTAGATATATTCAGAGATTTCCTCAACAACTATATAAATTAGCTCACAGATCTGCTATACGTAAGATAGTTTGATATTTGGACCTTGCTTCTTAGGAAGGTTCGTTTAGCAGTAGTCACGCCATTCTAAAATAAAATAATTAATGTATATATATATTTCTCAACAATCCTTGTCAATTTGACCCTGTGGAAGAAGTTTTTAAACCCATTTTCCATCTAGGGGAAATGCACTTGTATTTCAGCTATTGCCATATTAAGACAATATGGATACAATATTATTAAATGATTTGCTTATACTCAATAGAAGTCTATTTTTCAGGCGCTATTTTAGGTAAATCCTAAGACAGTATAAATAATAAAGTATTTGGTAATACCATATACAGTATAAATAGTCATTGGTAATACCCTGTAAATATTCTGTTTATATTCAAAACTAACCTCAACTTGGGTCGAACTAAGCGCTGTCTATGCTTCAAGATTTTTTAGTTGAAAATATCTGCAACTGTGCGAATGACTTCACACAATAAGGATACACAACATGCACACACAACACACACTCACGCACACAAGCTGAGATTCGCAAGTTTTGGGCGTGTGTATTTACGATTTTGTAATATTTATGCAGCGACGCTTCTGTTGTCTCTGTATGTGTGTGCTCTTTAGATGCCGATATGGCTTTTCCGTCAACTCTCCTCGTCTATATGCTGCTCCTAGCCATATCGCCCACCCCACAGTGCATCTCCGCCCTTTGCTATCTGGTATCTATGGCAACAGCTTTACGAGCTCAGCCTTAATTCTGGCCAAAGTAGCGCAGTAAACGGCACAGTGGGTGGCTTATGTGTGTGTGTGTGTGTGTGTCGCCTTTTATGGATAGTTTCAGCAAGTTTGTTGGCACTTACAACATTATAAATTTGCCATAAATTATCGTTATATGAAACGCAGCGCGTCGCTGATAGGGCAAACAGAAACGAACTTTGATTCAAAAAACTGCGGGAAAAAATGTATTATGCTAACAAGTGTAAAATATGGGGAAGGCAAAACAGAAAGGCAATATAATTGAATTATTAATTAATTAAATATTTCTAATATTCAAAATACATAATGTTTAACATATAAAAAGACACTCGACTTAAAGAATTCTTAAGCTATAAATTCTTAGTTTATCTCTAAACTCTTAAAAGAACTGGCCAAATTTTTTTAAAGTTCAGAAAAATCTCAAGAAGCTTTGTCGAATAAATATTGAAATATAAAATAAAATATACGAATTATAAAATATGATATATAAACTGCAAAACTTAAGACATACAAATAAAAGATAGAATATTAATTATATAATATTAAATGCAAAATTTAAAATATTGAACATAAAATATATAATGTAAAATACAAAATGTAAGAAATATAGAATATTAAATATAAAATAAATTAAATTAATTATAAATTAAAAGTAACATAAAATTTTAAATATAACATATGAAATATAAAATGCAAAACTTACAGCTTTAAAATTAAATATAAAATAAATAATTTATATGAAAAATATAAAAAAAATGTGTTATTTACAAAAAAAGACATAATTAATAAATTATAAAACTATAATATATAAAATATAATATAAACTAAAAACAAAAAATGGTCGATCATGTCATAATTCTCTATACGAAATCTCAAATCTCAGGATCCATATCTATGTCTCTCGCGCTGTCTCTTTCTATCACTCTCTTTTCTCATTCATCCTCTCTCGCGCTCTCTCTCTCTCTCATACTCTCTTTTGCTATCTTATTGTCCGGAAGTTACAGTATTTAAATGAAACACTTCCTGGCCCGAATTTCCCATTAGATATTTTTTACAATTTTGTTGCTTTAGTGTTACCAAAAAAGGCAAAAGCAATTGAATCACAGTTGGCAACAATGTCTAAGGCCCTAGATAAAAGCGGCTATAGCCAGAGCCTCTCCAGCTCGTGGATGGGTTAGCTGGAAATGGCGCCCGAGTTAGGAAACAGTTGCACAGCCCGCGGCGTTTAGCCCTTTGCACATAAAATTGCATATGCAAGTTAATGTTTACACTGGTCGTAAAACTTTAATGGATTTCGCTGCTGCTGCTGCTGCTGTCAGTATATAAGAGCAGAGGCAGAGGGCTAAAGCTGGGTCTGCCCGCCTTGCCCGCGTACTGCTCGTCAGCCTAAACTTTTCAGCCATAATAGAAACGCATCTATTTGATTAATATGTTGCTTTTCATTTTTTTCCGTATGCTCATCATAATTTTGTTGGCTCCGTTATTTAAACAAAACAAAAAAACACCGCAAAGCTTTTTAAAATATTTGAAAACTTTACTGATTTATAGGATTTGGGGTTTACGGTGTGCCGAGTCTTACTTAGCTTAAATTTTGATATAGTTAATAATAATAATAATTATTTTAACATTTCTCATAGCCAATCGCAAATTTGCTGAAAGTCTGAATATGTGTGTGGCAAGCAGTTAAATATATTCATTAGAATTATTACAATGTGTGGCCCTTGTCTTGGTTTTAGCTAATCAAAAGCTTATTTGTATACATCTATTATTGAATAGCAGATCCACATCTGATAATATTGTATAGTACACATACACATATTTATAAACATTAGCATAATTATAGTTGGCCAATACACAAATGATACAAATTGGGGTTTCATATAGGAGACAGAGCATTCTTGCAGCAGTTACAAGGCTGCATGCAACACGATATACCGATAGATAATTGAATGCCAGGATCAGATGTGACCAGACTGAAGCACAAATGAGGCAACCAATTGCAGACCATCAGACCTTCAGAGTACAGAGCACAGAGCACAAAAGATGCTGGCCGTGAGGATTATCAATATTGAAAGCCATTAATATGGGCAAGTTATACAATAAGCAGTCAATGGCAGCCCGGGTTATTCATGTAGCCAGGCGCACAGAGTTCTCTATGGACTATTGCATTTTTAATGAGCAGGAGGCGCCTCCGATACGCTTCCGCTGTTGCCTGCCGACTGGCTGATGACTGGTAAAGGCTTCCGCCTGCGTTTGGGATATTTGACAGCATACGTAAAGCAGTGGCTGGTATCAGGTTAATTTGAGACGCAGCCATAGGGAAAAGCCAACGGAAAGGCAGCGGAAACGCAGACACACACACACACGCACATACACACACACACACAAACGACCCACGACTCTGCATTGAGTACTCTGTGGCAACGTTGTCGTCGTCTCCTTCAACTCAGGCTTAATGGCCGCAGGACATGTCAAAAGAATTGATGACGTGCAGCGTCTTCGACGTGCGCTGCAATCATAAAACTGGCAACAGTCGCCCCAAAACCCTCCCAACCAGCCAAATGAAAAAAAAATCTACTGCCAATAAAATCGTTTTAGAAATGGATTTGTCAGCTCCTTTGCCAGCGATTAATTTGAGTTACCTACATTAGTTCTACATATTGACATTGGCTGAAATTGATGCTCAATGCCAGCCTGGGAGGGCTTAAAAATACAG